CACCTCTTCAATCTTATTTGGGCACAAGTTCTTCCCCAGCTGTGGAAATCTGCCATTGTTCTCCCTTTCTGCAAGTTGAGTACTACAGGACATGATGCCTCCCGCTATCGTCCCATCGCTCTTACTAGTGCAGTTTGCAAAGTGACGGAACGTCTGGTAAATCGACGTTTAATGTGGTATTTAGAGACACACAACAGTCTCTCCACTAGTCAGTATAGCTTTCGTAAGGGCCATTCTACCATAGACCCCTTACTATGCTTGGATACGTATGTTCGTAATGCCTTTGCGAATAATCACTCAGTTATTGCCATATTTTTTGACCTTGAGAAGGCATATGGCACAACTTGGAGGTATAATATTTTGGCCCAAGCCCACTCCTTAGGCCTCCGAGGCAATCTACCATCCTTCCTTAAGAGCTTTTTAACTGACAGACGCTTCCGTGTTCGAGTCAATAATGTGCTTTCCCCGGACTTCGTCCAAGCTGAAGGTGTCCCTCAGGGATGTGTTCTGAGCACAACACTTTCTCCTTGCTATAATGATTTGGCCTCTGTTCTTCCACCCAATATTTGGTCATCACTCTATGTTGATGACTTCGCTATTGCTTGTACAGGCGCTGACTGTCATCTCATTGCAGTTTCTCTCCAGCATGCAGTCGACCGTGTTTCCACTTGGGCCACCACGCATGGGTTTAAATTTTCCAGTACCAAAACTCACCAAATTACTTTCACTAGACACTCTGTCATCTCCGATCATCCTTTGTATCTCTATGGCTCCCGTATCCCCGAACGTGATACAGTCAGGTTTCTAGGCCTTCTCTTTGACCGTAGGTTATCCTGGAAACCTCACATTACCTCTCTAAAGGCAACTTGTCACAGCCGGCTAAACCTTCTTAAAACCCTTTCTCATCTTTCCTGGGGAGCTGATTGTCGAACTCTGCTTCGCCTACATTCAGCCCTCATTTTATCGAAACTCGATTATGGTGACCAGATTTATTCAGCAGCCTCTCCTGCTACTCTCTCTAGCCTTAACACCATCCATCACCAAGGATTACGTTTATGCCTTGGTGCTTTTCGCTCTTCCCCTGTTGAGAGCCTCTATGCAGAAGCGAATGTTCCATCCTTGTCTGATCGCGGTGATGCCCATTGCCTTCGCTACTATGTACGCTCTCACGATCTCCACAATTTATAGAATGGCACCGATATTAGTAGACATTATTTGTTCGCCACCCCTGTTTGCTCTATCCCTTTTCTCTTCGCCTACATTCGCTCTTGTCTTCCCTTCAGTTACCACCTTTATATGTTCATGTAGCATCTCACTTTTCCCTACCCCCCTGGGAAGTTCCAGCTGTTCGGGTCTGTTCTTTCTCACTCCCTTGCTCGAAAGTCCAACTGCCTACGGTGGCTTCCTGCTCTCTCTTCTTGATCACTTCCACTCTCATTCTCATGCCATCGCTGTGTACACAGATGGCTCTAAGTCTTCAGACGGCGTCGGATTCGCAGCAGTGTTTCCGGACAGTGTCGTGCGGGGGCATTTACTATCTTTGGCTAGCATTTTTACTGCTGAATTGTATGCCATTCTTGCAGCACTTATTCATATCACATCTATGCCTGTGTCATCATTCGTGGTAGTCTCAGACTCCCTTAGTGCTCTACAGGCTATACGAAAATTTGATACTTCTCGCCCCCTAGTTCTCCGTATCCAACTTTGGCTACGCCGTTTCTCTACCAAGCATAAAGTTTTTTTTTGGGTCTCTGGTCATGTCGACATACAGGGCAATGAACAGGCAGGCACTGCTGCACAGTCAGCAGTACATGACCTACCAATTTCCTATAGAGGTGTTCCATTTCTGGACTATTTTGCTGCAATAGCTACCCACCTTCACACCCGTTGGCAACAATGTTGGTCAACTCTGCTCTGTAACAAACTTCATTCTGTTAAACCAAGCATAGGTTACTGGCCGTCTTCTTGTCATCAGTGCCGAGGTTGGGAGACCACTCTCTCCCACCTTCACATTGGCCACACTCGTCTTACTCATGGGTATCTCATGGAGAGGCACCCTGTTCCTCTCTGTGAGCAGTGTCAAGTTCCAGTATCGATTAGCCACATTTTGTTAGACTGCCCTCTCTATCAACGAGCACGTAGAATTTACCTCCAACGTCGTCTTCGTTCTACTACTCTCTTTACCTTCCCTTCTTGCTGAGGACCCTCATTTAATCCTGACTCTCTCATTGACTTCTTGACAACGACTGATTTACTCCACAAACTCTGATGATGATACCTTTCACACTCCCCTCAGCCCTTTCTAGCTCAATCTCTTGCTGCCCTTTACCCTTTCACCATCCACCCGCCCCTCTGTTCTCCATAACGTATTACTCATCCATCTCCCTTTTGCCACCTGATGCCCTCGCTTCCTTCCTGTCCTGCAGCGTTGTATAGCCCTTGTGGCTTAGCGCTTCTTTTTGATTAAATAATAATAATAATAATGTGATCTAGTTTATATATCTCCCCTCCTGCCACTGGTGATTCCTGTGTTTACTCCATTTCATGCGCCTCTTGTTGTTTCCAAAACGTTTCAGAAACTGGCCGCTGTCTTTCTGACAGACTTAAGGAGCACAGAAGACGTGTTAACCTTGCCGACACTCTTTTCTGTCATGTTAGAAACCACAGTTATCATATTAACTGGTTCTCTTACAAAACTGTCTAGGATTTACAAGAGCCGTCTTGTTGAAACATTCCTAATATGAATTTTAGTCCTGACTTGGTCTTAGGAGATGGCCTCCTTTGTCATTACATTGCCAAAGGCTCCAAACTTAAGAACACTGGCGATATGACCTGACTTTTGTCTCCTTTCCTTTCCACATTTCCTATATTTTCATTGCCTTTCTTATGCCTTGGTGGGTTCTGTTCTATGGGAGTTTAGTCCCGCAGGGTATTTTCTCCTATGCCCGTGGAGCAGTAGCTCTCCTGCAGTGCTTCTTTGTTCTCTTGTTATTATAGACTACCCCCACTGTTGCTGCTGTTTCTTCGCAAATACTAGTCTAGCCTTAAGGGAGGGGTAGACATGTTAACACTGTTGTACTACGATGACTACTACTGCTACTCTTGTTCTACCGCTCCCTTTCCCTGCCCATTGTCATATATGTTATGATCCCCTTCCTTCTCCCTTCTCTGTGCGGCTTGTTAATGGTTCAAGTCTGACTGAATTGTCGTCATAAGTTTGTCTCCTAAGTGTGGGTTATTTGTGCATTGTTCCAGTCACGGTATTGTGACTCTTTTTATTCTTTAATAATTACAATATTATGTCGCTCAGGAATATAACGCATCTGTATTCTCACCGAATCTCCTATTTTATCTTTGATATTGGTGAGAGCGACACGTATAACTTAATAGGAACTAGGACGTCCTGGTTAGTGGCATATGTTCACTAGTATTGCTAACGTCCTCGCTAATAGTAACCCCGTCCTCGCTAGTGGTAACCATGTCCTCGTGAATAGTAACCATGTCCTTGCTATCAGTTACCTCGTCCTCTTTAGTAACCACGTCCTCGTTAGTGATAACTACGTTCTGGCTAGTAGTAATCATAACCCCGTCCTCGTTAGCAACTACGTTCTGGCTAGTATTAATTAACCACGTCCTCGCTAAAGGTAACCACGTCCTCGCTATTAGTAACCAGGTTCTCGTACTCGTCGCTGAGTAACTTTAAACTTTGGCTTTCATGTTTAATAACATTTCCTGAGGCAGTAATACACGTCTAGTGTAGCGTGACGGTGCGAGGAGGAGGAAGAGGAGAGGCTGGGAATACCACATACAACTTGTGTACGACCCGCCGCTACCTTGCTGCCGGGGACACTCACCCTTGACGGGTTTTATTTTGAAAAAAAAAAAAAATACAGTGTAGATTATACTGTCATTGTTACCCATGTTACACAGCTTTAGCAGGCTGAATTTGAAGTGTTTAAAAAAAAGTCTTTGCAGTGCAGGATATATTGTCATTGTTACCTATGACACAGCTGTCTTGAATTTTCAAGTGTGTTGTAAGTACGTCAGTCTTCTAACTTTTATTTTTGTAGGTTTAACGCCTGCTGCAGAATCGTAGGCTTTTGTTTCTTCATTTTTTTAATGTCTAAAATGATTTTTTTATTTTATTATATATGAGGTAGTTTTTGTGACTACCCGAGATCAGCATATTATCCATTTTATTATTTTATTGGTGTACTGTTATCCTCATTGGGTCATACTTTGCAACTTTGGTTATCTCAGATAGGCTATCGTTGCTTTTGCACTTTGGTTTTAATAACTGGGTGTCCGCAAAGGGCTACCTTATAGCAAAGAATAAAAAGTCACGATACCGTGACTGGAACAATACACAGATAACATGTGCACCTGGGAGACTGAAAGCTATGACGTTTTGGTCCGACTTGGACTAGTTATTGGTCCAAGTCAGACGGACCGAAACGTCGTCACGAGTTTCTCCTATAACCAGGTTATTTGTGTACTTGGTAGTAGTTGCCTGAATTCTTTTTTTTTTTTTGTCATTCACACGTATGTATACGCACACGCATACATGTGTACACATACATATGCACAAGTAACTAAATATCCGTAATCGCATACATACGCACATATAGACAAGCATACATATGCACGCATGCCAACGCTCACATCGGCACGCATATATATAAAAATGCATACGTATATGCATACATACGCGCCCACGTACATACGGACACATAATTTTTTTTTTTTTTGTATTTTGCTGCATTAAAATCAATAACTGCCTTGTATTCCTTTTACTTGAATAATATAATAAATTTTCCGATATTGATGCATTAAGAACCTGGTTGGTGAGTACAGACACAAGTGCGACAGTTTGGCGTTTTTATTGATGATAAAGATGAAGATACCAAATTTTATTAGCTGTTTTCCGTTCCCACCCTGCAAGCGAGCCAGTGTATTTCTTTATAAGTTAAACTCCCTACTAGATGAATGGTTCACAGAACCTACGCTTGCCTAATTCTTGGGCACGACCTACTTCCACATTGAACAAATGTGACACCACCTATGACTGCTGCACCTCTCCTGCCTACGGTTTATAAGCTCCTCCGCACGTATGGCGTATTCTATTCAAGACTGATGGACTGACCACATCGACTCAAGGTTGAGGGACTGATTACCTCATTCTACTCCTGTTCTTCAAGATTCTCCTTTGTATGGACTGATGAAGCCACTGTGTGGCGAAACGTTTTCTTAATAAAGATACCCAAGAGTTGCACATGTGTCTAATTTATCAACTCCCTACTACACTGATGTATTGTAATTGTGAGGGGTAGTGATAACTGCATAATGTAAGAACCAGGGATGGAGTTGAAAGTGGCCTTGACAACATTTTGGTCAGATTCATGTACTGTCTTGATGGTGGTAAGATTACTCATAGGATGAGCGGTGTTACGTTAGGTAACATTCGTCAGGAAACTGGACGTGTTTCTTGACGGTGTTGTCCGGTAACCCGCCCTATAAGGCGAAAAAACTCTTAAAAATCTTATGATCAGCAATCAGTACAGTAATTTTTAATATATTACTTAATCCGTCGTTTATCTTGTCAAATTTTTCGTTTTCCCATGTGTTGTTTAATTGTGAGTTGTCTGCATTTACAATAATGATTTCTTAGGCATTTTGTATTTCCATCGGATAAGAACTTTCACAAACAAAGAGAAACAACACGAATAATAATACCTTTCAAATAAAATTTTGCTCTCACGACTTGAGGTCACAGCCGGCGAGGAGTCTGTTCATCCAAGAAACGACCTGTCCTCCCTTCCATGAAAAAATAATATATTCACATAGCCTTTTCAAGCAAGAGAGATAGCAAACCTAGAAAATGTACGGAGGTCGTACAGTGCTTGTATAGAATCAATAAAAGATCTAAATTACTGGAAATACCTCAAAGCACTTAGATTGTACTCTCAGGAACGGAGAGAGATACCTGATAATATATACCTGGAGGGTACTTGAAGGCCTGGGCCCTGGTCTACACATGGCCATAACAACTTACCGGAGTGAAACATATTGAAAAAAGTTTAGAATATCAGGGAGACTATGGAAACAGAGAACACTCTGCCAACATCTGTAATTCAAGACTTCAACTTGTAACCAGCAGAAATCACAAATATTGCCGGAAGAGAGGTAGAAGTTTTCAAGAGGAAATTGGTCCACTATTAAATCATTTTTTGCTTGCTTACTGTTTTGTAAGACATTTGATATTAAGTAATTTCAAAGTGCTAAAGAAAACACACTAATACGTTGACCGATTTGTTTGTAGCCCATCAATGTTGGTGAGGAAAGACTTGATATTTTTTAAAGTGTCGTCAAGGGACGTCCTTGTTGCTTTGGTCGTATTAGCGGCATCAGGAGACGTAGCTCGTCCCTTTGGTAGTACTATTAGTAGCGTCAAAAGACTCGCTCGTCGCTGGGTCGTATTAGCTGCGTCAATAACCGACGTTCATCTCTGATCATTCTCATGGCTAAGTGTGGTCGAGGTGTCCATCTAGCTGGTCTGCAGCGTCTCTCTACTTGCCATAACCACCATGCCCGCGACTGTAAAAACAACGTTACAAACATAAGCCGAAATAAGTGTACTCTCAGGCTACTTAACCTCACCACTGTCTACTTATGTATCAGCGTTAATGCATTGCTCAGTCTCTTATGTCTTCATAAAATTTTCATAAATTTTGGAGCTTATGACTCGCCTCTTATATTAGGTAAATATGGCATTGTCAATACGTTACGCGATATTATTTGGTTAATGTTTACTTTAAACAATGTTTTGTTAAATACTAACGACTTGTTAACAAACCTTACATTGAAACTTGTTTGAAAGTTTGCATCAACTTACCCACCAAAACCTCCTCCTAAGCCGCCGAATCTGCCGCCACCGAATCTGCCGCCACCGAATCCACCTCCACCGAATCTGCCACCACCGAATCCACCGTGTCTATGGTGGTTGGCATCAGGGTCTACGTAGGCCATGGCTACGCCCACGGCGGCCATTACTACCACCACCATCATCTGACGACAGAAAAACAAATTATGTGCTGTCTGTAAGTCGAAGTTGTAGACGTTGCCACATGTGGGAGGTGTAATGATATTTGAATTATTTTTTTATATATTTTATTTAAAAGCAACATATACATAAACCATAAAAAGAAAGAAAAAAAAACAAGCCGACAATTAGCAAATCAAAAAACCGTGACAATGTTAGTACACACACACAAAACAAAATACATTTGAATACATTGATATAACAAAATTCTACTGAAATAAACCCAACCAGTTTATGCGAAAAAAAAAAAAAACATACCGACTTCCAAACAAACAGTCGGAGTCAATATAAAACATGAAGGAATAAGTCCTATAATCATATATATATGTATATATATATACACACATGTATATACACACAAACGTGTATGTGCACATGTGTTCGTACAGAACAGACTGGATTATACATAGAAATAATACGCAAAATGACTTGTCACTAAATAAACTAAATATGTATTACATCCAATAATAGAACTATACCTAAGACATTGGTTCCCACAAACACACCTACACACACACAAAGGTAATGTTACCGATTAACATTCAATATATAATATGACCTTCCATACAAATAGAAGGGTATATATAAACCCCATAAAATACTTACATATTCTCGTGCATAGTTCATATTGTACTCCTTCAATTATACGATAAAAAAAGACGTATGACAAGGATAAAGCTATCATCAGATTCGAATATATAAAGTATATCCTCACATATACATATGAATATAACCCCCTATATAAAATGGTTCCTATAACGATAAAAGAAAAAACAAAATCACATACAACTTTTAACTCTGTGATTTTACAAAATTCATAAGTAGTGAATGGTTTTGAAAACCGACAAGTTGAAGAACTGAGACACCCGTGCAACACATGGGAACAAAGATTCCCATGTGCCGCACAAGCGCCCCAACTCTTCAAAATTTATAAGGTCTACATACCCCGGAGCCCCCGACGGCTCCCTGCAAATAAACTTCACCCACATCAAACACCTTGCATAACCACTCAACCCTCCTCATCAGGCATCCAATCACTCCAAGAGGACACACCACTGAAGAGACCAACCCCTTGCCTCCTCACCCCGTCACCAAGCGGAGTAAACGTTCAACAGTAAGTCCACGATATCCCTCCGGAAAACTAGTTACCCACCGTCCCCCATATAATTGTTTGTTCCTACACGCTGTCCTATAAAAAAAAGCCGCCAACGCTTTTATCCTAATGTTTCCCTCCACCTCCCTCATCCCCCAAGAGACATACAAGTAATCAACTATTAAGTATCTGATAGCCCTCCCCACCTCGTTGGGCACTCCTCCCATATCTAACATTAAAGCCCTAAGGGGTGATTTCTGACCCCCCCAATAAAAGGAAAACCCTCTTCAACCACAATCTTACCACCTCCAAAGCAGAACAAAAATATACTACATAAAAATATACTACACAAAAACCGCATGACGCCTCTCTCATAAAACCCATTCGTCTTAGCACCTCTTTCGATGCTAACGTCCCCATAAGAAATCTATATACTAATTCCCTCACTCTTGCCTGTATTCTTAGTTTACTAAATTCCACCCATATCACTCGCCAATCATATGTGGGATACACTGCCATCCCCTGCAGTGATTCCTGGCGACGACTCACTCCCACCAACCGCTTTACCTTGAGTTTTTTAACATTGCGAACCTTTAACATAAACCTCAACATATCTTCACACTCCACTAAGTCCTTGCCACCCCACCATTTGCAGACATCCCCCATCACCTCCACCACTCGAAGACCCCTTTCCCCCCCCTGCCCGAATATACCTCTGCTTCACATATAGAGCCTTCACCCTAGATCCTAATGCCATCAATCCCAATCTTCCCTGTCTTACCGCAGTCATTACCACATCTTTGACCAACCACGCCCTCCCAAAACCCCACACATACCTCAATACTCTCCTTTGTAATTCCATAATATCCTGACTTCGTAAGGGATAAATTTCCGCCACTCCCCACACCTTACTATAAATCAGCGTATTTACCACCACAACCCTTTGATGCAAGGTTACGTCCCTGGCCCAGAGACTCCTGAGCCTACTCAAAGCTCTGTCCATTACCATTTCTGAATTAACCCTCCTGCTCTCCTGTGCATCTGCCAAATACAAAATCCCACAAATCTTGGGCCTTTCTACAGTTATCCAGCCAAACTCCTCCCCCAAGGTCCCGCCTACCCAAGCGCCTACCTCCAGCAACCGTAATTTCTGCTTATTAACTCTCATCCCAGTAGCATTCCCAAAAATCTCAAGTACCCTTCCCACTTTGCTTAAATCTTCTATCTCATTAAGTAAAACAGTTGTATCATCTACATGAATCGTTATTTGCAGCTACATAAAACTTGCATTTCAGAGTTGATAGTTTTACAGAGGTAAAAAGTTTGAAAATGTGTCATGACAAAAACTATAATATTGTGTTAAAAAATACTCGAATTCTTATTCAACCAGAGAACAAGGTGGAAAGTTCATACTTCATTCTTAACTGTTTGGAACAGGAATGTAATATCAAATGAAGATTTTTTTTAATGAAATCAAAGCAAATGATTCAACTCTAGTCTTCTAAAAGGCTTTATGATAATCATTTTCTTCCTCTGGATAATACTGCAAATTCCTACTCTTTATGTTTAGCCTAAATTCAGGAACAAAATGGATGGACATTATTTCTGCTTGGGTTTTGAGGAAAGTCTTTGATAGAGATCTTCATGAAAGACTAACCAAGAAGCTATAAAATACAGCAGTAGTAAAAGGCAAATTATTCACAAATAACCTAAACATTCGAGAGGAAATAATTCATAGTGCGTTGAATATCGGCACCAACTGTAATACCACAACCAACACTAATACTAGAACGTACATTAGTGCTAGTACTAACACCATTACCCATACTTGAACTAGCACTAGTATCAAAACTTTCACTAGCACCAGTAAAAGCATCAACACTAGCACCAGGACTAGTTCCATCACTAAAAAGTACCAGAAAGCAGCACTAGCACCAGCATTAATATTAACATCAACCTCAATTAAGTACTAACCAAGGCTCGGAGATAGTTCATGGTGACTGCAGTTGACTTTCGTTCTTCGCTTTATAGTAAGCACTGATGCTGGTCAGAGATGCTTCTTGCTATTTACATCAAAATAGCTTCCCTGACCCTCCCTCCGTCTTGCCACTGGTGCCTCGTGCAGTTACCAGGTAATCAGTACAATCGTTTCACTGGAATTAAGAGTACTAATTTGTTTTATGCATATTTATCAGTTGACTGATGAAATACTGTTTAGGTAGGTATAGAGATGTATAATAACTTGGGATGTTTGTGTGCAGTACTTGGTATAACATAAATTTACCGCATGAGATGGGAAATTCCTTGGGGAGGCTGAAAGGTACCAATTTGTTGGGTCCTGGTTTTTTCCTTCGCCCCAAGCTTCTCGTCTGCTTTCACTGGCGTTGTACTCAGTCCACGGAGGCAGCTCTTCTTATCAGGAGTGATATGCAGGTCTGAACATTATTCCTGATGCTTCTCAGCCGCTTTCTTTATAATTTACATATTTATTTTTATTGATTTAGGTAACCTAGCCTAACTCTGATCAGTTGCTGGAAAAGTTAGGAAATTGATTAAGAGAAACTCAAGAAAATGAACGTAGTTAAGTGAAGGAAGGTTGTCATCTATGTGTAGTGCAGAAACATACTGAGAAAGTGAATTGCACAACACACATATAAATTCATTGACTGATAAAAGGATTAAGTGTTTGTGTGTGTGTGTGTGTGTGTGTGTGTGTGTGTGTGTGTGTGTGTGTGTGTAATGCCACGTTTACAGAAAATAATGGTAATAAATAATTATACTTCAGTAATGGATCAACCAAAAGCAATCAGATATTTTAGTTAACTTTCAAGTTAGGCAGTTAATAATTCTAATATAATAATTCGAGTTAACATCAACTAGACTGCTGTAGGGGAAACTGTCATAATGCACTTCCCCGAAACACCGACCTTTTTCCTT